TTAATTGTTGTAGGAGCTGCGGGTTGCATTCCTGCCGCCCCAGCTCCTGGTCGCCTGGCTAGCTTATGCCCCGAAATAGCAATACACAAATTGTATTCTTTTAAACACTGCCTGGCCCATTAGTTTCAGCCTCTTAATCCATTTCTAATAATCTATGTAGCACCACGAGGTGCGCTTACCAGGAAAGATTCAGCATGTCTGACCTTGTGGCTGGCTGCATCACGTCTGCCCTGGAGAGAGCTGCACGGCATCTGAGCTCACTTCCTCTTCCTCCCAGCATTCTGTTCTGTTTACTCCGCCTATCTAAATTTTAACCTATCAGGGCCAAGGCAGTTTCTTTATTTAACCAATGACCTTCCTCCATCACTTAATAAAAACTAAGAGTCAGCTAATAGGGTGAAAGTTGAAAGGTCAGAGAAGCAGGGCGACCAGCCAATAGAGTTTGTTTCTATTTTTTTTTTAACCTCTATCAATGTCCAGACCAAAGGGGTGATCCTGTCCTCAGACTGCATCTTCAGACTGTAACTGCTTCCTCAGACTGCACTGAGCTCCTATCTCCTCTCGTCTTATCTTCCTCTCTCCACCCAGCCATATCACTCCTGTCTCCACTTCCCTAGCACTGGGATTAAAGGCATTGGATACCAAGTGCTGAGATCACCTTTATATGAGCTATGTTTCTCTTTTAGATTGGATCAGTTTTGTGTAGCCTAGGGTGGTCTTGAACCACAGAGATCCCTCTGTCTCTTTCTCTCAAGTACTGGGATTGAAGGTGTGTATTTGTATGTGTAAGAATGTTTGCCTGAACGTATGTATTATACCACAGGCATGTCTAGTACACACAGAGGTCAACAGCAGGTGTCAGATCCCCTGGAAGTGGAGTCACAGTTGACTGTGAGTCACCAAGTGGGTGCTGGGAACGTAACCCTGGTCGACTAGAAGAGCAACAAGTGAGTTACCACTTCCGGTCACATGTACGTGCATCCATGTACTACAGTGCGTGGGGAGAGCCCGGAAGACAACTTCCGGGAGTCAGTTCTTCTTCTACCTTGGGTTCTGGGGATCAGACTTGAGTAGCCAATCAGCGAGCACTCTTATATCTGTGGCCCCTCCCTCACTGGCCTCCTCTGATGCTCTGGACCAGACTTTGCATCCTGTCTGCTCCTGAGGAAGTCAGGATGAAAACTCTACAGGCCCAGAGAGCAAGGCGAGGTGCCTGGAGCCAGTGGCACAAAGACAAAAACTGTAGTGGGGAAATCCCGTGGCACTTCTTTCTGGACAGCCACACTTGCAAACGTTTTGGTCCTGACATTGCAGAACTGACCAGAAGAAATGTGATACTTTCACTCAAAACAGGGCTGGAGAGACGGCTCAGTGCTTAACAGCACTGATTGCTCTTCCAGAGGACCAGGGTTTGACTCCCAGCACCCACATGGTGGTTCACAGCCATGTAACCCCAGTTCCAGCGGGCTAATGCCTTCTTCTGACTGCTGTGGTACACAGATATCCGTGCATGCAAAAGACCCAGGTACATGAAATAAATACGTAAGAAAGAGTCCCCGTGACAGCATGAGCCCAGCCCTGCTTGGGCGGAATGCTTTCTGCTTTCCTAGAGCAAGACACCATTGTTACAAAACCTGTGTTTTCATTCCTGGCATCTTCTTACATTTGGGTTGAATGTATTTCAACTACAGCTCATTTAACTCTACACATTGAAAATCAGCTCATTTTCCTACCCAGGGCTGGGTTTGGAACGAACAAAGGCCATGTAGGCCAGACATTATTGCCACGATTGGCTTTTAGATGCCACTCACAGTAGCAAGGAGCCCAGAGAGTCCTTAGTTTTAATGTGGAGCTTGTGTGTGGCTACAGTGGAGTTCCATCCCCTCAGCCAACAGCAATGGTTATCTGTAGGGTAACCTCCTCTATCTGTGGGGTGCTAGCTACAGCGATGGAGCCTCCTCTGCCTGGGGGGTGCTGGCTATAGAGATGAAGCCTCCTCTACCTGTGGGGGTACTGGCTACAGTGATGGAGCCTCCTCTACCTGTGGGGTGCTGTCTATAGCCCTGAGTAAGGCAGGGGGATGAAACTGGAGGCAATTCACAGTGATGGGCTGACCAAGCAAAGATCTTGTCTGCATTGTCCAGACTTAGTCAAAGTGGCTCTGGCGTTTGAGTCTGGGTTGGGCTGTCCAGCTGCTGAGAGTCAGTCAGAACAGCAGTAGGAAGGAAGACACCGTGGGTCTGTCTGCATTTTCCCTCTCATCTCTGGACCTCTCTCTAGAGCACAGACTCTCCCATGGTTGAATGACAGTCCCAATACAGCTGATTCAAGATCAGGAAACATGGGTGTGTGGGGCTTCCTGGCCTCCCTGAGGGAATTCTGACAGCCTCCCCTCCCTTACTGTCACCCACTCACACACGTGAAGGCTTTGAGGAAACACACCCAGCCATGTTTTTATTCCAGTTGTGACAGGGGTCTGTCTGGCCCTCAAATCCAGATAAAACTATGGCCAAAAGTCTTCCTGGAAGGCCGTAGAGATTGCTCAATAGTTAAGAGCACCTGTTGCTCTTTCAGAGGACCTGGGTTTGGTTCTTGGCAGCCACACGGTGACTTACAACCATCTAGAACTCCAGTTCTCAGAAATCCAACACCTTCTTCTGACCTCCACGGGCACTGCGTATACATGATATACATACATCCATTCAGGCAGTCGTACACATAAAATTAAAAGAAATCTAAAAAATTTAAAAAGAAAGCCTTCTTAAATACTTCTGGGGATCCAGGGGAGATGTGGGCTGTACAGCACAGCCCTGTAAGTGTTGAGCCCCAAAGTACAGACCAGGGAGTCACCTCCAACTCCCATGATTATCTCACCACTGAGATGGAACCTGCTACAGGTAGGTCACAGCTGTTTTCTACCCTGTCCCTTGGGTGTGGACATCCTATCTACACATCAGAGTTCATAGGGATGCTGCATCATTTTAGGACCAAATGAAGGGATAGAAGGTGTCCAAGTTGTCCCGGAAATGACTATGAATGTAAAGGCCAGCTTCAGGGGAGAATGTGTTAGTCACTAAAGGGTGTTTCTTACCCAGGGCCTGTCCTCCCCTGCCTGTCTCGGTACCTTCCAAGAATTCAGTCCAGTCACACACTCCTGAGACATGAACTGAGGTTTGAATTTGCAAAAGGGTAAAACTTTAGCTCTCTCAGCTCAGCCTCTGTGATGTCAGAGTCCTCTGCCTTCTGCCTGGATCACGGGATGTCACCATCAGACCCTGTTCACTCAGACTGGTTTTCAGTGGCCAGCCCCAGCGCTGACTCTGTGGTTCTTTAGCTGGGGTCTCTAACCTGTCGGGCAGAGCCGTCTTTTGGCTCTCACACCTTCACCACGCACACGCTTGTTCCCACTTCACCCACGACACAGAAGCACGTTTCCAGTTCCTCCCCGACCAGTCCCTAAACAGGGAGGACTCCAGGAATGCTTGAAAACAATGAGTAAGTAAGTCCAGGGAAAACATAGACTACTAGTGTGGTTATTTTAGAGCCAATGAATGAAAATAACATTATAGCAAACTAAAGGGGCAAAGTAAAAATTTTAACATAGGGTAGAGTGTGTGATGTCCCTTGGGCCCAACTGAATAGATAAGCCATTTGGGAAGCAGGTCAAGAAAAAAAACGCACCCACTAACCTCTAGTTCAGTGTTTTCCCATGATGCCTTTCTCACCTTTGTTACATTAACTTTTGATTGGATTTGCAGCCTTTCAGTAATTACAACATCAGCCATTGTTTTCGGGGTTTCCCAATATGCCCTTCTCCTGTACTATGAGGCACGGGCAATAATTACCTTTTATCTGTCCAATAATTTAAATTACGTTCTCTGTTGTAAACTTCACCACACCCCTTTGAGATAACTGGAAATACCTGGAGATGTTGTGCAAACAGACCCAGGAAAGATTCCCTCAAGCTGGGCTTGGCAGAGTTCTTCTGTGTGGGGGCCACTGCTCCACGTGTAGGATGTCCCACCATTAGCTCAGTGGAACCTAGGGACACGAGGCACAATGGCCCAAGTGACTGAGGAGCCAAAGCCTACATCTAAGTAATTCTCCGAAACCCTGCACTAACTTGGGTCAAATATCTCTCCACTTGTGTTATCAAATGTTTCTGTCATTCCCTTGTGTAGACCCACGTAGTATGACCACTGTTTGCTTATGTGTGCTGACCTCTTGAAACATAGGAAGTCTGGCTTGCAAGACTTAGTACAAAAAGAAAGAAAATATTGCATTTATGATTTTGGCTTTGGTTACCAAAGATGACTCAGCAGGTTAAGTGCCTGCTGCATGAGCCTGGCGGTCTGAGTTCAGACCCCAGAACAGATGGAGGCAGGAGGATCTCTGTGAGTTCAGGAACAGCCTGGTCTACACAGTGAGTTTCAGTACAACTAAGAGAGACCCTGTCTCCAAAGAGAGAGAAAAAAAAAGAGTAAGAACCAACTCCTCACGCTGACCTCTAACCTACACACACATGCATACATACGCACACACCCTAGACCAGAAATTCAAAGTAATCCTGAGGTACGTGGCAGGTTTGGGGCCAGCCTGGGCTATGTGCAACCCAGTCTCAAATGAACAAAGAAAGACAGCCCCAAACAACAACAAATCCAAACAACAGTATTTCAAGGTGTTGCTCAAATTTAATTTCACTTTTAAAAGCTTTTTTAAATGTGGCTGCTAAGAACATGTTCTCTTACTCATGTAGGTTGCTGTCCTATTTCTCCTAGCTGGGACTGGAGAGACAATGCTCAGCCACACTTAATAGAAGACTGAAACCAAGATAAATGAGCAAATTAAAAAGACCAAGTCACTGAGAGGGTGAGAGAATCTATTTCAGAAAGAAAAGATAGTTTGTTTCAGGTGTGACTGAATGAAAATCTCCTGGGTTCATAGCTGGGGTGTTTATATAGCAAAAGGCAGAGGAGCAAGGGAAAAGCGTGCAAACTTACCAAGGGAAGCTCCTCACAGCATGAGAATCCTGGGACATGAAGACCGGAGGAACAGAGGCCTGGTGGGTACGAAACCCTGAATTCAGTCCCAGCGCCACAGTGCGGGGAGAGGGGTCAGCCAAAAGAAACAAAGAAACTTGGATATTTTCACGATTATGTTTGTGAAAGAGGTGGGCAGAGATAGAAAGTGAAACTGAACCCAGAGAACGTGAGTTTACGGCAATAAACGGGAGGAAACCAGGCAAGATCTTTTTTAACTCTCTCTGCATCCCTGTACAGTGTTCCTTGCCTTCAAGTGCGGGGAGCAGGGACCACCGCCAGGTCTTACAGCTTTCAGAGGAAGGGCAAGCATCCCTTTATGGTGTGCTTAGACAGGGAGGCAAGGGAGAGGTGAGGGTGACCTTCCTGCTCCTCTGTTTTCCAATGTCAAGCACAATGTTTCTGACAGCGTGTCATTCATAGTGCTGGTGGCTAAACCAGACAGTAACTTTCAGGGATAAACTTCTATACTTTCAGGGGAGAAAACTGCTTCCTCTTTAGAAGATTGTTAACACGTGCTGGGCAGATGGCTCAGCTGGTAGAAATTCCGGCCATCAAGCTGGAAAACTTGAGTTTGATGGAAACACACACACACACACACACACAGAGAGAGAGAGAGAGAGAGAGAGAGAGAGAGAGAGAGAGAGAGAAGAGAGAGAGAGAGAGGAGGCGGAGAGGAGAGAGAGGAGAGGAGAGGGGGGAAGAGGAGAGGAAAGGAGAGAGAGAGAGAAGAAGAAGGAGGAGGAGGAGGAGGAAGAAGAGGAGGAGGAGGAGGAGAGGAGAGAGGGGGAGAGGAGAGGAAAGGAGAGAGAGAGAGAGAGAGAGAGAGAGAGAGAGAGAGAGAGAGGAACACGCACAAGACAAATAATTTAAAAACAAAAGATTATTAACTATTGTGGGAATTCATTCAGCCAATAGCCTTTTGGTACCGGCGCATTAGGGTGTGGTCTGCGGTCCCTGTGGACTAATAAGCACAGACAGGAAGCATGCTTGCTCTCGTGGGTGGTGGTCAGAGTTCTGTCACAGCTTCCAGCACCCACAGAGGACTACGGCTCTACTTTATTGTGAGTTTTTCCCCAAATAAATACCGTTATCTTTTATTCCGGACTATCGTGGGCCTCGCTAATTACAACTACGATTACCACGGATCCAAAGCTGTTCATTTGTTTCCACTAAGACTCTTTGGAGAAATTTGCAAGGACTATGTCTGCCTTCTTTTTTGAATACCTGTGTTGTGATCTTGCACTGAGCATGCTCAGACATGTGCCTTTTCCCCACACCTGCTTTCCTATATAAGTAGGTGGGGGGGGGTGTAGAATTTACCACTAACACCGCTTGCTCTGACTTTTGAGGAGAGTACCGCCGTGGTTGTCTTGATGGCGTTGTAGACTGTCCTTTTCATGTTCTGGTTATGCTCGCCGGCCTTGCACCGGCACAGAGGAGAACCGTTGCATCCAGGACAGAAGGGGCAGTGAGCAGACTTCCTGGAAGTGCTCCTTGCCGCTCTTGAAGTGCTGGACACAAAGTGCTAAGACGGGTAGTTCTGTGTGAGTTCACTCAAGAGAAAAGACTGATGCGATGCAGGGGTTCTTGCATCTGACCAGCAAATATTTTGGTTCAAATCTAGGCATTTGTGATTTTAGACAAACACCCTCCGCTTCAGTGTACGTATTCTGCCAAACAGGTCTCCACCCTGTAGGACTGTGGCATAATAAACATGGTAGAGCTGTCTTGGCTTTAACATGACCTACTCCTGTAGTGCAATAATTCCCTCCCAACTAAAACGCTCCTCCTCGAGAATAAGGGGGACTCATGACACCCCTGAGTCTAGGAGAGTCAGAATCATGTGTTTATACAAACCCTCCTCAGGGTCACAGAAGCATTGACCTGCGGACAGATGGAGACTCTCAGTTTCTTAGTGCTGCTTTGCAGGTTGTGGAGAGGGCTCCCATGCTGGGGTGGGCTCTGATAGTATAGCTGCCTTTGAAGCCATCGATGTCCCTGCCATTAACCCTTCACCCACACTCCTGTGAGTGACCCCGATAAACTCACTAGTTCACCACCTCAGACTTCGGCAAAGTTGTTATCCTGATGGTTGTTGGATTCCTATCCAGAGTGAGCAGACAGTTCTCATCTCCCTAGGGAAAGTCTCACACAGCAACACCCACTACCCCACCACACACACACACAAACATACAGGCACCAGAGCTTCAAGAACACTTGGTCCTCAGCTAGTGTGCCCTTTTACGAGGTTGTAGAAATGTCTGGAGGCCGGGCCTATGGAGAGGAAGTAGACAACCTGATGGAGGGGTGAACCCTCTAGAAAGATCTATCTTGTTCTCCATCCCTTCTTCTGTTTCTTGGCTGTCACGAGGTGAGCTGACTCTCCCACACCATCTTGCTATCCTGTTTTGACTTCCGGAAACCAGAGCAGCCCTTTCCTTCCTGCCTTCCTGTCTTAGACCCCTCATCAACTTGACACACAAACAGCTCACGGTTAAGCCATAACCTTTCCTTTTCTGTTCATCCCCAAGATCACACATCAGCATATAATATAATCGTTCCAAAATTTAAGAGTCCTGTGGACTTTAAACTTTTAAACATTTAAACTCCAGTCTCTTAAAAATAACCAATCTCTTTTAAAATCCAAAGCCTCTGTATAATTCCAAAATCTTGTTGAAAGCACAAAGTCAGCTGTGGGATCCTGTAAAATCAAGAATAAACTTTATAAACAGTTTATTATTTTAAGAAGGAAGAACCAGGGTGCAGTCACAATCTAAACAAAACAAAACCAAGTTCTAATTGTGTAAACAATTCAATAGCCAACGTCTGGGATGCACTCGCAAGCTTCTGGGCTCTCCAAAGGCCTTGGGTCACTTCTCTGGCTCCGCCCTCCACAGCACAGACAGCTGGCTTCATGCCACCGTTGCTGCTGTCCTTGGCGGTTGTCTCACGGTATTGGCACCACCAAAATGCTGGGGTCTTTGCTACAACTGAGCTGCACTTTCGTCTGCGGCTCCTGGGTTCTCTTTAGTGACTCCGATCCTGTTACACAGAGCCAAATCTCAGCTGCTCTCCATGACCCCTTCATGCCTTTCACCTGGGTGACTCTGACACCACCCAGTTTGGCTGCCACCCCGGAACACAGCTTCTGTGCTGTCAGGATATATTTTCCAGAAGGTTTCACTTGGTCTTTTAAATTTTTGTTGTTGTTGCTGTTTCTTGAGGCAGAGTTTCTCTTGTGTTGTCCTAGAACTCGCTCTGTAGAATAGACTGGTTTCGAACTCAGAGATCCACCTGCCTCTGCTTCCTGAATGATGGGATTAGAGGTGTGCACCACCACTGCCTAGCTACTTGGTCTCTTCTTAATCACAGCTGAATCCTCAGCTCCATCTGACCAGACACAGATTCTTCGTGCAAATGTCCTGACATTGTCTTTGCTTCCCTCTGCAGCTCCACGAGCCAGACCTCCAACATCTGCAGCTCCACGAGCCAGGCCTCCAACATCTGCAGCTCCACGAGCCAGGCCTCCACCATCTGCAGCTCCACGAGCCAGGCCTCCACCACCAGCAGCTCCACGAGCCAGGCCTCCACCATCTGCAGCTCCACGAGCCAGGCCTCCACCATCCACAGCTCCACGAGCCAGGCCTCCAACATCTGCAGCTAGATGAACCAGGCCTCCATCATCCGCAGCTCCACGAGCCAGGCCTCCAACATCTGCAGCTCCACGAGCCAGGCCTCCAACATCTGCAGCTAGACGAGCCAGGCCTCCAACATCTGCAGCTAGATGAGACAGGCCTCCACCATCTGCAGCTAGACGAGACAGGCCTCCAACATCTGCAGCTCCACGAGGCAGGCCTCCACCATCTGCAGCTCCACGAGGCAGGCCTCCACCATCTGCAGCTCCACGAGCCAGGCCTCCAACTTCTGCAGCTCCACGAGCAAGACCTCCATAATCCACAGCTCCATGAGCCAGGCCTCCAACATCCGCAGCTAGACGAGCCAGGCCTCCACCATCTGCAGCTAGACGAGACAGGCCTCCAACATCTGCAGCTCCACGAGCCAGGCCTCCACCATCTGCAGCTAGACGAGCCAGGCCTTCAACATCTGCAGCTCCATGAGCCAGGCCTCCAACATCTGCAGCTCCACGAGCCAGGCCTCCATCATCCACAGCTCCACGAGACAGGCCTCCAACATCAGCAGCTCGACGAGACAGGCCTCCAACATCTGCAGCTCCACGAGGCAGGCCTCCAACATCTGCAGCTCCACGAGGCAGGCCTCCAACTTCTGCAGCTCCACGAGCCAGGCCTCCAACATCTGCAGCTCCACGAGTCAGGCCTCCACCATCCGCAGCTAGACGAGCCAGGCCTCCAACATCTGCAGCTCCACGAGCCAGGCCTCCCATCATCTGCAGCTCCACGAGCCAGGCCTCCATCATCCGCAGCTAGACGAGACAGGCCTCCAACATCCGCAGCTAGACGAGACAGGCCTCCAACATCCGCAGCTAGACGAGCCAGGCCTCCAACATCCGCAGCTAGGCGAGCCAGGCTTCCACCATCTGCAGCTAGGCGAGACAGGCCTCCAACATCTGCAGCTCCACGAACCAGGCCTCCAACATCTGCAGCTCCGCGAACCAGGCCTCCAACATCTGCAGCTAGACGAGACAGGCCTCCAACATCTGCAGCTAGACAAGACAGGCTTTCAACATCTGCAGCTCCATGAGCCAGGCCTCCACCATCTGCAGCTCCACGAGCCAGGCCTCCACCATCTGCAGCTCCACGAGACAGGCCTCCACCATCCGCAGCTAGACGAGCCAGGCCTCCACCATCCACAGCTCCACGAGCCAGGCCTCCACCATCCGCAGCTCGAGGAGCCAGGCCTCCAACATCCGCAGCTCGACGAGACAGGCCTCCACCATCTGCAGCTCCACGAGCCAGGCCTCCATCATCCTCAGCTCCACAAGCCAGGCCTCCATCATCTGCAGCTCCATGAGCTAGGCCTCCAACATCTGCAGCTCCACGAGCCAGGCCTCCACCATCCGCAGCTCCACGAGCCAGGCCTCCATCATCCGCAGCTCCACGAGCCAGGCCTCCACCATCCGCAGCTCCACGAGCCAGGCCTCCACCATCCGCAGCTCCACGAGCCAGGCCTCCACCATCTGCAGCTCCACGAGCCAGGCCTCCACCATCTGCAGCTCCACGAGCCAGGCCTCCACCATCTGCAGCTCCACGAGCCAGGCCTCCACCATCTGCAGCTCCACGAGCCAGGCCTCCACCATCTGCAGCTCCACGAGCCAGGCCTCCACCATCTGCAGCTCCATGAGCCAGGCCTCCATCATCTGCAGCTCCACGAGGCAGGCCTCCATCATCTGCAGCTCCACACGCCAGGCCTTTATCATCTGCAGCTCCACGAGCCAGGCCTCCATCATCTGCAGCTCCACGAGCCAGGCCTCCATCATCTGCAGCTCCACGAGCCAGGCCTCCATCATCTGCAGCTCCACAAGCCAGGCCTTTATCATCTGCACTGCTCTCAGTCTTATCTTCCAAGGTCCTACAGAATCTCCTATTGAGCTCTCAACACTCAACACTTTTAAAGTCCAAAATTCAAAAATCCTTCCACAGCCTTCCCCAAAATAACACGTTCAGGTCTGTCACAGTGATAACCCACAATACTGGTACCAGGGTTTTTGTTTTTGTTTTTCTCAGTTGGGGTTTCTATTTTTGTGATAAAAAATTAAAATACCATAACCATGAGCAATGTGGGCCAAAAGGGTTTATTTGGTTTATGCTTCCACATCACTGTTCATCCTTGAAGGAATCAGGGCAGGACCTGGAGGCAGGAGCTGTTTACTGGCTTGTACACCATGGCCTGCTGCAGCCGGATTTTATGGGGACATTTTCTGAATTGAGGGTCCCTCCTCTTAGATGACACTAGTTTGTGTTAATTTGACATAAAACTAGCCAGCACATGCCTTTTAAGTTGTTTCTCCTGGGCATTTACATACAGCAACAAAACCTCTTGTACATGGTGAAGAAACATGATCCTTCCTGTGACGTTCTCCTTGTAGCGGGTTCAGCAGAAATGAAGATACTCTAAAAAGGCTCTTGTGGCAATTAATCTATCAGACTATTGAAACAAGGGACCCCAAAGAAAAGGAAATTTCCCTAGGAATCTCATGCTGGGAGAAGGGAAAGACACCATTTAGAGGACAAACTTGGCTCCTACGAAGAACTTTCACACGATTCTAACAAGTTGTCCAGTTGCTGTACAGGATGAGACTAAAACCCAGACAATGGTGAGTCAATGATGAGCTGCTTAAATGTGAATATCCTTAGTCCTAGCACAGGGTGGAAGGGGAACCATGAAGAGAGCCCAGGAGAGGCTGTCGGTGAAAGTGCAGCTCAGTTGCAGCAGGGACCTCAGCATTTTGGAGATGCCAGCACCATGGTGTGACCACCAAGAACAGCTGAGCAGGTGGAGTCAGAGAAGTGAGCCAGCCCTTTGGAGGAGCCCAGAGGTCACCAGGGAATCTCAGATGTGGAACACTGAGTTATTTACACTATTGGAGTTAGTTTTGCTTTGTTCAGATTGTGAATGCACCCTGGTTCTACCCTCCTGAAGTAAGAAAATACTTAAATTATTCTGACTTTTACAGGAGCTCACAGACGAAGTATTTTGAACTTTTAAAAAATTGAATTTTTAAAAAGAAATTGTATATTTTAAAGAGACTGGACTTTTAATATGTTTGAATTTGCAAGGACTGTGGTACTTTTAAAGTTACTTACGTTTTATATTGTGATATTAATATTAATGGGTCAACTTGGAGATAATGTGAAAGGAAAGGTTCTAATGGAAAAGTCATGTGTTTGTTTGTCAAGTGGTCAAGGGGTCAGTTGTATGGGTGGTTTTATGTCACCTTGACACAAGCTAAAATTATCAGAGAGAAGGCAGTCTCCATTGAGAAAATGCCTCATGCTGGGAGAAGGGAAAGACAACCAGCTGGTGGTTCTGGGTTCTGTGAAAAAGCAGGCTGAGCAAGCCAGTAAAAGCACCCTTCGTGACTTCCACATCAGCTCCTGGCTCCAGGATCCTCCTACCCTGCGTGAGTTCCTGTCCTGACATCCTCTGATGAACCATGATGTGGAAGTGTAAGTCAAATAAACCTTTCCTTCCCTGGTTGCTTTGGTCATGGTGTTTCATCACAGCAATGGAAATCCTAGCTAAGACAGTCCTCTGTTTAAGCTGGAACCTCACTCCGGCACACTGAAGATGGACTTGGGGGGTTCACTGAATCTACTTGTCTTTCTTCCCAACGTGACCATATTGAATGCATCCCCTTTTCTCTGCTGTCACTAATTTGACTGTTTCAATTGGCTTGTGAGGATGGGTGACCAAACACTGATCACAGGCTGTGACCCTCAAGTTCCATAACCTCTCTAATTCCTGTCTGTGAGGTCCACCTGGCTTGCTATAGCAGTGCCCAGCAATGCTCCCCCATCCAGTGCCTCGTCTACTGTTCTCCCTTCCCTGAGAACTGACTAGGAAATAGTAAAACCTTGTGTTCAGGGCTAAGCTCAAGCACCCTCCTGACAGATCCATTCCTCTCCCAGAAAGAGCCTCTCTCAATTACTCCTTACTTCCTCTGTTGGACCCCAGAGTCCAATCACTGAGGAGGAGTCACCCCAAGAGATCATCTCTCACACCACAGTTGATGTAAAAAAGCATGAGGATTTTATTAATTCTGTCATGACAGAGTCTTTCAGCATTTGAGAGGCCAGAAAGACCTCCAGTAGCTGGTACAGGCTAATTTTAAAGCAAAAAGCCACAAAAGGAAGGGGGGTGTCTGGGGGCTATTCCTTAACTATTATGATAGGCTTATTCAAAGGGCTATTGCCAATAATTGTCTGGAGAGTGGTTGCCAGATCAGATGAGGTAAGGGGGAAACATCTGAGGGTCACTTTGCCCCTTTCCCAGGGACTGAGTCAAAGCACCAGGAACTGAGTCAACACCTAAGGGTTATCTTGCCCCTATTCAGGGAGATGGAAAGTTCCCAACATCTCAGTACGTGCCCATGTAGCTGTTATGTCCTTGGTTCCCAGGGGAGGGGAACAGTATTGCTGAGACGCCTCAGACATGGCTTCAGAATTCTCTTAAAGTTTTACACCTCCTTCAATGGGCTTGAATGTGTCAAATTCCATTGTCTTTGGATACATTTAGCATTCTCCCCAGTAGATCTTAGATAACAACAGAGGGGGAAACAGTGTTAATACTGAGTTCTTAAGTAATTTGCCTGCTGTATCTTTATTTTACATATGGCAGTGGTAGATGGTGGCTGTTATTTTTCAATATGCTTAGAGAAAGAAAAATGGGGTCACACGGTTGTGCTGATCACTAAAATGACTTGGCTTTGCCCTCTGCTGTGTTACGACTATGAAAATGGGAACCACAGCTTTCCAATATAATAGAAGTGTAAGATGGGCTGCTCAAGAGCCCAGTCTTAGTGACCTGTGCTCATGGAAGGGGTCCAAGGGTTCTGAACTGGAGCTGGCTGAGCACACACAGGAAACTGGTCAGGGTTAGGAACCCACATGGAAAGACACTGGTGTAGAAACTGACTTATTTGTTAAGATCATCAAATTATACCGACCTCCCTTCCAGCTCCTGTCCCTACCGGTCATCTGTTTCTTCCTTTTGTCACCTCATGGTGTAATTTGGACTTTGGTCACTTCTCTGAAAAGCTGCTGAACCATATTCCTATAAGGAGCTTGAAAGAAGGGGACCCTGACGTCCTGGGATCCATACCCTCTGGCGGTGTACTTCCTGGGCTGAGCCAGAGTCCTAAGGATTTTAGAAGAGACTTCTCCAGTAGGAGAAGCTCCATCTTGGTCAGCCACACTTTAGAAGGTGGAATTTCTGGAGGTGTGAGTTTAGGGCTAGCTAGGGACAAAGCCTATGCTTGGATGCTTAAACAGAAGCAAGGGATTGCTTTACACACAAAATAATCAAAGGGAGAAGTAGATGGGGGTAGGGGTTGTAATGGTCTGCTCTATCCCTTTAAGAGACAAACCACGCCCACTCCCCAACAGCTGAGGCAAGCTAATCTTCAGCTTCCAGCCTGAGTCCCTTCCTTTCCCATCTCCCTCTTGAAGAGGCAGCTTCTGTCTCTCCCTTCTCCCCTTCCCCTATTCTGTTTCTTTCTCTTTCTTTCTCTCCCCCCTCTCTGTCTCTCTCTGTCTCTCTCTCTTTCTCTCCCTGCTCTTCTCCCCTTCCCCACTTCCCCTCCATAACCCACTAAATAAATATCCAGCCTCTCTCTACATGGTGTGCCTATCCATGTCTCTTTCTCTCACCTGCCAGGTGTCTCCCTGCCCAGGACCAGCCTCCTCCGGAGACCTGCAGCATGGTCTCGTGGAGTGCCCATCCTTCTGCCTCTCC